AAGAATTGGGTGATCTAACATATTACCTATCTCAGTATGACTTTACAGTAAAATATATACCTGGTAAAGAAAATGTAGAAGCAGACTGTTTGAGCCGAAATCTGGTATTACAATCAGAAGATAACAGTGAGGAACTATTGAGAATAGTTAATTTAATACAAATAAAAGATATAGTTGAAGACTAAGAGAAAAATGAAACAATAAAAAAAAGAAACAAAATTTAATACACAAAAATAAAATCTATTATAAAAAAAATAAAGAAACAGGAAAAGATTATCCTCTCAGAAGAATTTAGTAAAAAACTTATAAAAAAGGTGCATGAAAATTTATGCCATATTGGGATCAGGCAATTGCAGAAGAAAATAAGTCCTATATATACAGCTATAAACCTAACAAAAAAATATTATAAATATTTGTAAAACATGTGAAATATGCATAAAAAATAAATCAAGATGTCAAAAAAAAATTGGATTAATGTCACAACTGGGACCAGCTACAAAACCATTTGAGATAATGTCAATGGATACTATTGGTGGCTTTGGAGGATCTAGGTCTACAAAGAAATACCTACATCTTTTAGTAGACCACTACACAAGATATGCATTTATTGCGACTTCAAAAACTCAGAATGCAAGTGACTTTATAAATCTAACAAAGAAAGTACTAGAGACAGATGAGATTGGAATTATCCTGACAGATCAATATCCGGGCATCAATTCAAGAGAATTTAAGCAATATTTGCAGGAGAATAATATTAAACTAATTTTTACAGCTGTGAATACACCATTCTCGAACGGCTTGAATGAAAGATTAAATCAAACAATAGTAAATAAAATAAGGTGTAAAATGAATGAGAAAAATAATAAGAGAACGTGGACAACACTAGCAAGAGAATGTATACAGAAATATAATGAAACAGAACACTCCGTTACAGGTTTTGCACCAAAATATTTACTGGATGGTACAAATGTCAGTATTCTACCAAACGAATTTAAAACAATAGAAAAGGAAGACAAGTGGATGGCTGATAGAAGATTGGCATTAGAGAACACAATAAAATCCCATGAGTACAACAAGAAAATATTTGATAGAAATAGAAAAATGCAAGAGTTTAATGTAGGAGACAGTGTATATTTAGAAAATGGAAATAGACTGAATAGAAAGAAATTAGACGAATTAAAAATAGGTCCTTTCAAGATAATAGAGAAAATATCGAATTCAATTTATAGGCTTGATACAGGCAACAGAAAAGCAGAATAAACATTATTTCACATAACAAAATTACAACCTGTCGTAACAGAAGAAGATGAAGGAGAAGAAAACGAATATGAAGATAACTTATAGGTACATTGTATAGATATATTGCTTAGAATTTTCGCTCTTAGGGGGGAGATGTAATGAAATGAATTATATTTCATTAATTTGAATTTGCTGCGCTTCGCGTATCTATGTTGTCTGTGGAAGATGGTAGAGGGCGCATCGAAGTGATGTGTAAACTATGATTCAATGGCGGATGACGTTTAGATTATTTTGTGCATTTTATTGTTATAAAAACTTGTAGAGAGATAAACCGAAGGATACGATTGAGGAAGCAATATTAGTAAACTTTAAATGTCGTTTCTTTGTATTTTCAGGTGAGATAGAAGTGTAATTGTCATAACTTGATAATTGTTGTAATATTGGAAAGACGTGTTAAATAAAACAAAACTTTGTATTTTCAGAGAAACAATTTGTGGTTTATTTTGAAGATCCTCAATAATATACCATATATATATATATATATATATATATATATATATATATATATATATATATATATATATATATATATATATATATATATATATATATATATATATATATATATATATATATCATATGTAACTATCGTATCTATTATTATTATTATTTATTGATTTATTTTATTTTTATTTATTGTTTTATTTTATATAATTTCCGTAACATTGTGTATATTATTTATTTTTAGTAGTACTAATGTATGCACTAAGTTTGCAATTTAAATATAATTTCCTTTATGGGTCTACTGGAAGATATTTCAGCGAATTTGGAATAAGTAGAACCTTTGTACGTAATTACTATAAGACTGCTTCTGTACCTTAATGTGTGTACATAAAATAAATTAAAAAAAAAGGCCCCGGCTGGCTTCCAAATAGGTAACCAGCATTGGGTTCAAAGCCCTCACGACAGCCCGATTCCGCTTGCTTAGGGCTATGCGGGGAAGTCGCGGTCGATTTTCGAGAGGCGTACTGCGCGTTTCCACAATCGCCTTTTCCAATATACTCCTCATATGCTCTAATTCCAGTTCCTGGGCGACTGTTCCATCATCGTTTGAATCAACCACAACTGGGGTATTCACGGCGGCATCCACGTTTGCGGGTTGCTCTACCATTTGTGCCGCCGCATCCTCAGCCGTAGCATTCTCATTCGACGAGGGAACAGCCTCACGTCGTAGCCGTTCGAGTTCGGCGACATCAAATATATTATTATTGTGGGGTATCTATATAGTTTTCTCATCTGGTTGGGTTCTATAAATATATAATTATAAATGAAAATGAAAAGATAAATATACATAAATATCAATAACATAAAATGAATATAAAAGATAATAAAAAATAATAAAATAAATAAAAAATATAAAATAAATATTATTATTATTATGGGGTATCTATGTAGTTTTCTCATCTGGTTGGGTTCTATAAATATATAATTATAAATGAAAATGAAAAATAAATATACATAAACCAATAACATAAAATAAATATAAAAGTACATAAATAAATAAAAGCCCAACCAGATGGAGGCCCTCGGCAGGGGGAGACCAAACGGCCGAGGGTTAGGGGGAAAGGGAAAGAAACCGGCGGACGATGCGGGCGGTATCGAGGAGCACCGCCTTCTGCATTTGAACCTGGAGCGGTCCGCCACGTAGTCGCAGCCGCCTCAGATGACCCGAGAGGCCGACTGGGATTAGCCCGTTTGCAGAGACGACTACAGGAATAATTTCGGTCGGCAGACCACCCCACATGTCGGTCACCTCGTGAGCCAGGACCAGATATTTTGTTTGCTTGTCTGTTTCGGCTTTCACGAGGTTCTCGTCATACGAAATGGTAATGTCGACCAAAAATATCCTTGACTGTGCCCGGTCCATCAGCACAATATCAGGCTTATTCGCAAGAATAGTCCTGTCTGTGATGATGGCCCGGTCCCAATAGAGCCTGGCGCGATCATTTTCGAGCACGGCTTCCGGCAAATACTTGTAATACGGCAATTTCCGGTCCACGAGACCGTATTTCAGAGCGAGCTCCTGGTGTAGAATTCTGGCTACTAGGTTGTGCCTGTGCAAGTACTCAGAGTTAGAAAGCGCCGAACAACCGGAGATAACATGCCTAAGTGACTCCCCGGGATGGCGACAAGCTCGACAGATGTCGACGGTGCCATCCTTTAGGATGTATCTCCGATAGTTGTTGGTCTTAATAACCTGATCCTGTATTGCACAGACAAAACCCTCGGTTTCCCCGAAGAGATCACCAAAGCGTAGCCAGTGGAGGGAGGCTACTGTGTCTACGAAAGGCTCATGTAGAGCTTTGTAGAACCTCCCGTGGAGCTCCTTCTCCTTCCATACGGTCTCTCGGTCGGAAATGCTCTGCACTGCCGGGTCTTGCCATTGCTCGTTGGCTAAGGATAGAGGGGTAAGTCCTTTATCACAAGAAATGACGTCCTTATAGAATGGATCATCCGATCTCGCCAGGAAGTAATCACGGAGGCTGCACACTTCGCGATTATGCATGGTGAGCGCGCTCAAGAAGCCACGACCACCATGCTTCCGCGACAAGTACAGCCTCATTACCGACGATCTCGGATGATGCATCCTATGGGACGTCATGGTAGTGCGGACTTTTCTATCCAGGGCGTTAAGTTCAGTCTGAGTCCACCTGAGTATGCCAAAGATATACATGAGGACAGGCATGACCCAGCCGTTATATGCGTGTGCCCTATTCACACCGGACAAAAGACTGTTAAGCACTTTGGTCAAGCGTGCATAAAACACGTCGCAAACTGACTGTTTCATACCAGTCTCATCGATACCGATGTTTTGTGACATACCCAGGTATCGGTATGTTTCAGCCTCGGAAAGGGTCCTTAAGTTGACGGGCATAGATAAGTCTACGCCCTCAGAGTTAGCAACCCTTCCCCTTTCAACATGGAGGACCGCACACTTATCCGTCCCAAGCTCCATTCCAATGGAATTGCTAAATTCACAAGTGATGTTTAGCAATTCCATAAGATGGGGAGCGACTGGAGGCGAATAACTTGAGGTCATCCATATAGAAAAGTTGGGTCACTTTTGTCCCTCCTCTCCGTAGCTGAAATCCCCTCCCGGAGCCCTCCAGTAAGGTACTGAGAGGGTTCAGAGAGAGGCAGAACCAGATTGGACTCAGACAATCGCCCTGGAAGATACCCCTTCTTATCCTTATGTGGTTCTCCGCAGCCTTCATCCGCTCGCCCAGATGGCAAAGGATCGTACTCCACTGCCCCATACACTGCTCGAGGAAGTCTTTAACTGTACAGTCTATCTTGTACAGCTCGAGGACTCTCTTTAGCCATGTATGGGGCACCGAGTCGAATGCCTTTCTGTAGTCTATCCAGGCGGCGGAGAAGTTCCGACGGTTGCGTTTCACCACTTTGCCAATGACCGCGTCAATGAGGAGTGGTTCCTTGGTTCCACGACCACTGCCCCGACATCCATTTTGAGCGCGCGACATCACCTGATTTGAGTCCAGGTGACAAGTGATTCTCGCGCTCAAAATGGATGTTAGTGTCTTGTATATGGTCGGTAGACACGTGATGGGGCGGTATTTGCTCGGATCTGTGGTATCCTGGTCTGTAGGAACAAAATGAGTGATCCCAGTAGTGAAGAGGCTTGGGAGCAATTTCTGGTTGAGAGCCTCTTGAAACTGTCGGGCAAGCACAGAGTGACACACCATGAACCCCTTCAGCCAGTAGTGATGCAGCCCGTCAAGCCCCGGACTTTTCCAGTTCGGGGCCCTACGGACCGCCTCAGCTACGTCATCCGGCGTTATGATGACGGGGTCCATGGGCGTAATACCCGCACACTGACTCGCCACAACTTCCGTCCAAGGGCCCTCGCTGTGGTTTACGGGCTCTGACCACAGGCCGCGCCAGAATGCTACAGTGTCGGCCTGATTCGGTGCTGGACCCGTTCCACTTACCATTGGTCGCTCCAATGATTCATAGAGCCGCTTCTGATCACTCTGGAAGAGACGATTCTGGTTGAACCGTGTCGACCTCTCGGTATATCGCCGAATCCGCTTTCCCCAAGCAGCGATTCTCTGCTTCAGATCATCTATGCGCTCCGTCAGTTTTTGCGTTATATCCGGCTGGGACAAACTGACATTTGTCCCAGCAAACGCCATCCTGACGGTGCGCACAATTCTTGGCCTGTTGTTGCCTGATCTGAAGCATATCAGTCTGCCGATGAGAGCTCTAGCCTTTGCGATACGTTCCTCAATTCTTCTTCTCCATGCTGGGATAGCGCTACTATGGCCAGTAGCGCGTCCAGCCGTGGAAACCTTGGCGCCTATGATACGGCAGACTGCCAGCGCGGCGCCAAAAAGAATTGAGTCCGTCTCGCAAAGGTCCCGGCTGGCTTCCAAATAGGTCACCAGCATTGGGTTCAAAGCCCTCACGACAGCCCGATTCCGCTTGCTTAGGGCTATGCGGGGAAGTCGCGGTCGATTTTCGAGAGGCGTACTGCGCGTTTCCACAATCGCCTCTTCCAATGTACTCCTCATATGCTCTAATTCCAGTTCCTGGGCGACTGTTCCATCATCGTTTGAATCAACCACAACTGGGGTATTCACGGCGGCATCAACGTTTGCGGGTTGCTCTACCATTTGTGGCGCCGCATCCTCAGCCGTAGCATTCTCATCCGACGAGGGAACAGCCTCACGTCGTAGCCGTCCGAGTTCGGCGACATCAAATATATTTGAGCGCAAGATATACCGAACTCGGTCTGCCAGGTTTTGCTCTGTGACGGTTAAAGATGGCTCCAGCTCAGCAAAAAGACGATGCATCCTAGCCCGATACGCCAAACATCCAGTTTCTCCCCCCTTTCGCCCTAAAATACACCCGCAATGCGTTGCTGTTCATCTGGGTTGTCCACCGCATGCGGCGTACTCCACCAGAGGCGGGTGCCGATTGCTGGGCCCGCGAAGACCCTGCCGACACCAAGCCAGCTGGTGGGGATGATGGATGCGAGGGGCTGCTGGGTGGTCGTGCAGCACCTCGCGCTCGGCTGGCGGTTCGCATGCTGCCGCGTCCAGCGCCAGCTCCAGACGCGCCCTGACGACCTCCAGGCAGCGGCCCTTTGCGCGTTCTTCCGTATTCCATCATCCATAGTGGTGGGCGTCATTTAGCGGGAGACGCCCAGACCCGGCGCCGTTTCATGGTGAGGCCATGTGCACAAGCGGGCCTTTGCACCTTCAATTTTTGCCGAGGCGCGGCACTAACACCTCTTGACAAGGTGCTGACTGACTGCGCTGACGTAGCGGTTTTGTCACATAACCGTTACGTCAGCGGGCGATGGGGTCGTCACTTCCCTACGCCTTATTATTATTATTATTATTATTATTATGGGGTATCTATATAGTTTTCTCATCTGGTTGGGTTCTATAAATATATAATTATAAATGAAAATGAAAAGATAAATATACATAAATATCAATAACATAAAATAAATATAAAAGTACATAAATAAATAAAAGCCCAACCAGATGGAGGCCCCTGGCAGGGGAGACCAAACGGCTGAGGGTTAGGGGGAAAGGGAAAGAAACCGGCGGACAATGCGGGCGGTATCGAGAAGCACCGCCTTCTGCATTTGAACCTGGAGCGGTCCGCCACGTAGTCCCAGCCGCCTCAGATGACCCGAGAGGCTGACTGGGATTAGCCCGTTTGCAGAGACGACTACAGGAATAATTTCGGTCGGCAGACCACCCCACATGTCGGTCACCTTGTGAGCCAGGTTCAGATATTTTGTTTGCTTGTCTGTTTCGGCTTTCACGAGGTTCTCGTCATACGGAATGGTAATGTCGACCAAAAATATCCTTGACTGTGCCCGGTCCATCAGCACAATATCAGGCTTATTCGCAAGAATAGTCCTGTCTGTGATGATGGCCTGGTCCCAATAGAGCCTGGCGCGATCATTTTCGAGCACGGCTTCCGGCAAGTACTTGTAATACGGCAATTTCCGGTCCACGAGACCGTATTTCAGAGCGAGCTCCTGGTGTAGAATTCTGGCTACTAGGTTGTGCCTGTGCAAGTACTCAGAGTTAGAAAGCGCCGAACAACCGGAGATAACATGCCTAAGTGACTCACCGGGATAGCGACAAGCTCGACAGATGTCGACGGTGCCATCCTTTAGGATGTATCTCCGATAGTTGTTGGTCTTAATAACCTGATCCTGTATTGCACAGACAAAACCCTCGGTTTCCCCGAAGAGATCACCAAAGCGTAGCCAGTGGAGGGAGGCTACTGTGTCTACGAAAGGCTCATGTAGAGCCTTGTAGAACCTCCCGTGGAGCTCCTTCTCCTTCCATACGGTCTCTCGGTCGGAAATGCTCTGCACTGCCGGGTCTTGCCATTGCTCGTTGGCTAAGGATAGAGGGGTAAGTCCTTTATCACAAGAAATGACGTCCTTATAGAATGGATCATCCGATCTCGCCAGGAAGTAATCACGGAGGCTGCACACTTCGCGATTATGCATGGTGAGCGCGCTCAAGAAGCCACGACCACCATGCTTCCGCGACAAGTACAGCCTCATTACCGACGATCTCGGATGATGCATCCTATGGGACGTCATGGTAGTGCGGACTTTTCTATCCAGGGCGTTAAGTTCACTCTGAGTCCACCTGAGTATGCCAAAGATATACATGAGGACAGGCATGACCCAGCCGTTATATGCGTGTGCCCTATTCACACCGGACAAAAGACTGTTAAGCACTTTGGTCAAGCGTGCATAAAACACGTCGCAAACTGACTGTTTCATACCAGTCTCATCGATACCGATGTTTTGTGACATACCCAGGTATCGGTATGTTTCAGCCTCGGAAAGGGTCCTTAAGTTGACGGGCATAGATAAGTCTACGCCCTCAGAGTTAGCAACCCTTCCCCTTTCAACATGGAGGACCGCACACTTATCCGTCCCAAGCTCCATTCCAATGGAATTGCTAAATTCACAAGTGATGTTTAGCAATTCCATAAGATGGGAGCGACTGGAGGCGAATAACTTGAGGTCATACATATAGAAAAGTTGGGTCACTTTTGTCCCTCCTCTCCGTAGCTGAAATCCCCTCCCGGAGCCCTCCAGTAAGGTACTGAGAGGGTTCAGAGAGAGGCAGAACCAGATTGGACTCAGACAATCGCCCTGGAAGATACCCCTTCTTATCCTTATGTGGTTCTCCGCAGCCATCATCCGCTCGCCCAGATGGCAAAGGATCGTACTCCACTGCCCCATACACTGCTCGAGGAAGTCTCTAACTGTACAGTCTATCTTGTACAGCTCGAGGACTCTCTTTAGCCATGTATGGGGCACCGAGTCGAATGCCTTTCTGTAGTCTATCCAGGCGGCGGAGAAGTTCCGACGGTTGCGTTTCACCACTTTGCCAATGACCGCGTCAATGAGGAGTGGTTCCTTGGTTCCACGACCACTGCCCCGACATCCATTTTGAGCGCGCGACATCACCTGATTTGAGTCCAGGTGACAAGTGATTCTCGCGCTCAAAATGGATGTTAGTGTCTTGTATATGGTCGGTAGACACGTGATGGGGCGGTATTTGCTCGGATCTGTGGTACCCTGGTCTTTAGGAACAAAATGAGTGATCCCAGTAGTGAAGAGGCTTGGGAGCAATTTCTGGTTGAGAGCCTCTTGAAACTGTCGGGCAAGCACAGAGTGACACACCATGAACCCCTTCAGCCAGTAGTGATGCAGCCCGTCAAGCCCCGGACTTTTCCAGTTCGGGGCCCTACGGACCGCCTCAGCTACGTCATCCGGCGTTATGATGACGGGGTCCATGGGCGTAATACCCGCACACTGACTCGCCACAACTTCCGTCCAAGGGCCCTCGCTGTGGTTTACGGGCTCTGACCACAGGCCGCGCCAGAATGCTACAGTGTCGGCCTGATTCGGTGCTGGACCCGTTCCACTTACCATTGGTCGCTCCAATGATTCATAGAGCCGCTTCTGATCACTCTGGAAGAGACGATTCTGGTTGAACCGTGTCGACCTCTCGGTATAACGCCGAATCCGCTTTCCCCAAGCAGCGATTCTCTGCTTCAGATCATCTATGCGCTCCGTCAGTTTTTGCGTTATATCCGGCTGGGACAAACTGACATTTGTCCCAGCAAACGCCATCCCTGACGGTGCGCACAATTCTTGGCCTGTTGTTGCCTGATCTGAAGCATATCAGTCTGCCGATGAGAGCTCTAGCCTTTGCGATACGTTCCTCAATTCTTCTTCTCCATGCTGGGATAGCGCTACTATGGCCAGTAGCGCGTCCAGCCGTGGAAACCTTGGCGCCTATGATACGGCAGACTGCCAGCGCGGCGCCAAAAAGAATTGAGTCCGTCTCGCAAAGGTCCCGGCTGGCTTCCAAATAGGTCACCAGCATTGGGTTCAAAGCCCTCACGACAGCCCGATTCCGCTTGCTTAGGGCTATGCGGGGAAGTCGCGGTCGATTTTCGAGAGGCGTACTGCGCGTTTCCACAATCGCCTCTTCCAATGTACTCCTCATATGCTCTAATTCCAGTTCCTGGGCGACTGTTCCATCATCGTTTGAATCAACCACAACTGGGGTATTCACGGCGGCATCAACGTTTGCGGGTTGCTCTACCATTTGTGGCGCCGCATCCTCAGCCGTAGCATTCTCATCCGACGAGGGAACAGCCTCACGTCGTAGCCGTCCGAGTTCGGCGACATCAAATATATTTGAGCGCAAGATATACCGAACTCGGTCTGCCAGGTTTTGCTCTGTGACGGTTAAAGATGGCTCCAGCTCAGCAAAAAGACGATGCATCCTAGCCCGATACGCCAAACATCCAGTTTCTCCCCCTTTCGCCCTAAAATACGCCCGCAATGCGTTGCTGTTCATCTGGGTTGTCCACCGCATGCGGCGTACTCCACCAGAGGCGGGTGCCGATTGCTGGGCCCGCGAAGACCCTGCCGACACCAAGCCAGCTGGTGGGGATGATGGATGCGAGGGGCTGCTGGGTGGTCGTGCAGCACCTCGCGCTCGGCTGGCGGTTCGCATGCTGCCGCGTCCAGCGCCAGCTCCAGACGCGCCCTGACGACCTCCAGGCAGCGGCCCTTTGCGCGTTCTTCCGTATTCCATCATCCATAGTGGTGGGCGTCATTTAGCGGGAGACGCCCAGACCCGGCGCCGTTTCATGGTGAGGCCATGTGCACAAGCGGGCCTTTGCACCTTCAATTTTTGCCGAGGCGCGGCACTAACACCTCTTGGCAAGGTGCTGACTGACTGAGCTGACGTAGCGGTTTTGTCACATAACCGTTACGTCAGCGGGGCGATGGGGTCGTCACTTCCCTACGCCTTATTATTATTATTATTATTATTATTATGGGGTATCTATATAGTTTTCTCATCTGGTTGGGTTCTATAAATATATAATTATAAATGAAAATGAAAAGATAAATATACATAAATATCAATAACATAAAATAAATATAAAAGTACATAAATAAATAAAAGCCCAACCAGATGGAGGCCCCGGCGGCAGGGAGACCAAACGGCTGAGGGTTAGGGGGAAAGGGAAAGAAACCGGCGGACAATGCGGGCGGTATCGAGAAGCACCGCCTTCTGCATTTGAACCTGGAGCGGTCCGCCACGTAGTCCCAGCCGCCTCAGATGACCCGAGAGGCTGACTGGGATTAGCCCGTTTGCAGAGACGACTACAGGAATAATTTCGGTCGGCAGACCACCCCACATGTCGGTCACCTTGTGAGCCAGGTTCAGATATTTTGTTTGCTTGTCTGTTTCGGCTTTCACGAGGTTCTCGTCATACGGAATGGTAATGTCGACCAAAAATATCCTTGACTGTGCCCGGTCCATCAGCACAATATCAGGCTTATTCGCAAGAATAGTCCTGTCTGTGATGATGGCCCGGTCCCAATAGAGCCTGGCGCGATCATTTTCGAGCACGGCTTCCGGCAAGTACTTGTAATACGGCAATTTCCGGTCCACGAGACCGTATTTCAGAGCGAGCTCCTGGTGTAGAATTCTGGCTACTAGGTTGTGCCTGTGCAAGTACTCAGAGTTAGAAAGCGCCGAACAACCGGAGATAACATGCCTAAGTGACTCACCGGGATAGCGACAAGCTCGACAGATGTCGACGGTGCCATCCTTTAGGATGTATCTCCGATAGTTGTTGGTCTTAATAACCTGATCCTGTATTGCACAGACAAAACCCTCGGTTTCCCCCGAAGAGATCACCAAAGCGTAAGCCAGTGGAGGGAGGCTACTGTGTCTACGAAAGGCTCATGTAGAGCCTTGTAGAACCTCCCGTGGAGCTCCTTCTCCTTCCATACGGTCTCTCGGTCGGAAATGCTCTGCACTGCCGGGTCTTGCCATTGCTCGTTGGCTAAGGATAGAGGGGTAAGTCCTTTATCACAAGAAATGACGTCCTTATAGAATGGATCATCCGATCTCGCCAGGAAGTAATCACGGAGGCTGCACACTTCGCGATTATGCATGGTGAGCGCGCTCAAGAAGCCACGACCACCATGCTTCCGCGACAAGTACAGCCTCATTACCGACGATCTCGGATGATGCATCCTATGGGACGTCATGGTAGTGCGGACTTTTCTATCCAGGGCGTTAAGTTCAGTCTGAGTCCACCTGAGTATGCCAAAGGTATACATGAGGACAGGCATGACCCAGCCGTTATATGCGTGTGCCCTATTCACACCGGACAAAAGGCTGTTAAGCACTTTGGTCAAGCGTGCATAAAACACGTCGCAAACTGACTGTTTCATACCAGTCTCATCGATACCGATGTTCTGTGACATACCCAGGTATCGGTATGTTTCAGCTCGGAAAGGGTCCTTAAGTTGACGGGCATAGATAAGTCTATGCCCTCAGAGTTATCAACCCTCCCCCTTTCAACATGGAGGACCGCACACTTATCCGTTCCCAGCTCCATTCCAATGGAATTGCTAAATTCACAAGTGATGTTTAGCAATTCCATAAGATGGGAGCGACTGGAGGCGAGTAACTTGAGGTCATCCATATAGAAAAGTTGGGTCACTTTTGTCCCTCCTTTCCGAAGCTGAAATCCCCTCCCGGAGCCCTCCAGTAAGGTACTGAGAGGGTTCAGGGAGAGGAAAAACCAGATTGGACTCAGACAATCGCCCTGGAAGATACCCCTTCTTATCCTTATGTGGTTCTCCGCAGCCATCATCCGCTCGCCCGGATAGCAAAGGATCGTACTCCATTGCCCCATATACTGCTCGAGGAAGTCTCCAACTGTACAGTCAATTTTGTACAGCTGGAGGACTCTCTTTAGCCATGTATGGGGCACCGAGTCGAATGCCTTTCTGTAGTCTATCCAGGCGGCGGAGAAATTCCAACGGTTGCGTTTCACCACTTTGCCAATGACCGCGTCAATGAAGAGTGGTTCCTTGGTTCCACGACCACCGCCCCGGCATCCATTTTGAGCGCGTGACATCACCTGATTTAGCTCCAGGTGACGAGTGATTCTCGCGCTCAAAATGGATGTCAGTGTCTTATATATGGTGGGTAGACACGTGATGGGGCGGTATTTGCTCGGGTCTGTGGTATCCTGATCTTTAGGAACCAAATGAGTGATCCCAGTAGTGAAGAGGCTCGGGAGCGACTTCTGATCGAGAGCCTCTTGAAACTGTCGGGCGAGCACAGCGTCACGCTGTGCTCGAGACACTACGAACCCCTTCAGCCAGTAATGATGCAGCCCGTCGAGCCCCGGACTTTTCCAGTTCGGGGCCCTACGGACCGCCTCAGCCACGTCTTTAGGCGTTATGGTGACGGGGTCCATAGGCGTAACACTTGCACTCTGGCTCGCCACAACTTCCGTCCAAGGGCCCTCGCTGTGGTTTACGGGCTCTGACCACAGGCCACGCCAAAATGCGACAGTGTCAGCCTGATCCGGTCCTGGGCCCGCTCCACATACCTCTGGTCGCTCCAATGTTTTATAGAGCCTCTTCTGATCACTCTGGAAGAGACGATTCTGGTTGAACCGCCTTGACCTCTCGCTAAATCGTCGAATCCGCTTCCCCCAAGCAGCGATTTTTTTGCTTCAGGTCATCTATGCGCTCCGTTAGTTTTTGCGTGATATCCGGCTGGAACAAATTGATATTTGTCCCAGCAAACGCCATCATCATTATTATTATTATTATTATTATAGATTACAGCAGCGAAGATGATTTTGATAATTATATCCTGGAAGAATAAACGTGCAAAGAACGATTAGCACAAGAAAAGTGACACGTGACTCAAAATCCTTTTGATTATTACAGTGCCAATGAATTTAAAAGTCGCTATAGGTTTTCAAAAGATTCCGAATTCCGAAGAAGTAAATGGTAACTTCTTTGAACTGTAAGAAAACAACACGTGTTATTATTTGCACGAAATTGACAACGAAACAAACAGAAACATAAAATGTAATACTTACCATATTTTAGGTGATTTCATTATAGGCAAGCAACTCGCATTCGAAATGAAAATAAAATAAAATTGTATAAGTAAACTATGTTTAGAATTCAAATGACAAAATAATATCTTGGTTTAGTGATGTTTAACTGTCATTCAACTCGACTGAAGTCGCATCACAACGTTATCCAATCACGGCGCCCCATTCAATGATATGTGTCCGCACAACAAAGAGTCCACTAAGTATTGTTTATGAAATGAACGGCCTGCCATGACGAACGCAGTGAGAAATATCTTACTTAGCATAGTGTTGCTGCCATACTTATGTTAGTATCGTTCGTGAATACTGGTGTTAGTATGCTAGATGTCCGTAACTAGGGATAACGAGACACCATCTGCGGTTGACCGATATTTGTTAGATAGTTGCCATATCTTAATATATATAAATTACGTGTCACGTTGTTTGTCCGCGATGGAGATGTCCGGATGGATGAGAGATATGATAGTTTTTTTTGTCCATAAGTGACAGACAAATTTTTTGCGAATTTTAGGATTTTTAATTCTTCAGTTTTAAAGATAACTGTACACGGTACATGAAAAGTGTGGAGGTATGAAATGATCCTTGATGAATTTTCTATTAACCTTTTATACATACGAAAGCGATATCATTTATAGTTTTTGCGCGATCTGCCACAAAATATGAACATTTCTTATCTTTAATCGATTTTTTGTTCAAAGTTTAGGTATATTAAATATTCCAACCTTACCGCCAATATATGTAGGCTAAATATATGACTAAAGTAAAGAATAGAATATGCTCTTTAAAAAGAAGTACAAATTATTTTTTAACTCTTTCATTATGATAAAACTATTGAATAAAACTAAATTTACGGATTTTATCGCGTTTATTTCACTACCTACACTATGGTCACGGGGGGGACCATGGTTGCCGTAAAGCACCCGAAACGTCGGGAATTAAAAATAAGTAAAAGTAGTGAAATAAACGCGATAAAATCCGTAAATTTAGTTTTATTCAATGTGTAGTGTTCGCGTAAATTTTAGAAATCATTATGATAAAACTATTTATTTGAATAAGAATTAATACTACGACACGACTGTAACCGACTTTTATTTCGACCGGTGATCTAATTAAATTTTAAAACACAAAAGCTACTCCTGTGACTTAATTATGATAGTAAGATATATTCCTTACGCGGACTTTTTTGAAGGTAATAATGAGTATTAGGTAATCATGTAGCACATAATTTCTATGTATCATCAAGTTCTCTCAGCGCACGCCAAATAATAAATTTTTAAGCAAAATATTTCTACTTTGGGTTACAATTTTCTTAAAGATCTCCGAATTTGTTGGAAAATAAAATATAGCATGTACGTTACTTTGTGATAATTTAGCTCTCTATTGGTGAAAAAATTATTAAAGTCGTAGTTTTGGAGTACACACGGTACACACAAACAAAAAAATCTTTCTTCTTCGTAATATTAAGGTATAGATAATTATTTTTTTGTTATTATTTTTACTATTGTTCTTTTCGTTCGTTCGTTTCTTTCGTTCGTTCTTTCTGACAGTCCGGTGATGATGGTCGCTACAGTTAAGTTTTCCTTCAATTCCTTTTTTTTTTTATATAGAAGAGGGGGGCAAACGAGCATGTGGCTCACCTGATGTTAAGTGACTACCGCCGCCCATGATCAACCGCAACACCAGGGGAATTGCTTTTAATCACCTGACTATTTAACATTTTTATCTTTAACATTTCACACACCTACTTCATATTTTTATCTCTGCATCATCCAAAGATTGTGAATGGTTAAACCGCACATATCGCCTTACCAGCATTATTGGCTCATTCACTTATTTTTTTTGTTCATGCAGTCAGTACTAACAATAAAACTAAAATAAATAAATGTGAATTTCAGATATAATACGTAAGCACAAAACTAATTAGTCAACTAGTCAGTCAAGCCTTTTATTCTATTGAGCATCTATCTAACTTGCGACACTTCATTAGTGACCGCTCGAGCGATCAAATTATAGTACCAGATACAATGAAAATATTAATAGACTCCTATTTGTAGACATACAATCATTTTCAAGACATTTCATTTACTACTGTAGGCTTTAAACAAACTAATTGATAAGTGTGTGGCACATATCCGGCAGTGGATTATATTATAGCACGAATGGGTCGGCTCGATCGGGGAAGGACCGCGCTCTCACAGAATCCCAGAGTAAAATAGCAGCTTAATGCTGGTGCCTCGTATGTTTAGTGTAGAGAAGACAGATTTTACTGAAAACAAGGCATTGCATCCTAGTCCATTTGTGCATTTGCGCTCGCTCATACATTCGTACACTATAAATCTTTTTGAATTATAGTGCACGAATGTTAGGCTCCGTTGAAATATATATATATATATATATATATATATATATATATATATTGTTTTTATTTTGTAATTATGTAGATTAATTAAACCAGATTGATATTCTTTCGAAATATTTATTTTACAAATTAGTATAATTACTATAATAATATGCATGTAAATTATGTAAAGTATCACTATTCACTCATCTCCATAGATTCACTTTCATCTGAATCAGAGTCATTAACAGAAATAATAAATTCAAAGTCCATGTCAAAATATTGCAAATACTGTTTTTCTGTGTCTTCAACATGCCGACATGCATTTGCCCACATAGTACTATCAAGAGTGTAATAGAAACTCTGCGTATCATTTTGAAGGAATCGGGCTACGAGTGCTCCAAAATAGATGACAACCGTAAAGCTTTAGTAGAAAAGCATGATATCCAAATGTTACGCTTTCAATATTTGAGGCAATTAAGAAAATATCGTGACGAGGGCCGCTATATCGTATACACAGATGAAAGTTATGTTCATACAACACATCTGCAAAACATGTGCTGGAAACCAGTCAAAGGAGTATCAGCAGTGCAAAAAAAGTTGTCGAAAGGTACTCGGGTCATAATTTTTCACGCTGGTGGATGTGAAGGATTTGTTCCAAATGCTAGTTTGGTGTATAAAGCAAACTACACAAGAGGAGATTATCACGACAACATGAATCTGGATAATTATAAGAAATGGCTCACCACACAATTACTGCCCAATCTCCCGGTAAAGGCTGTCATCGTTGTGGATAACGCTTCTTACTACAATGCTTTATTAGAAAAAGCTCCCAACTCCAACTCAAATAAGCAAGTCATGCAAACGTGGCTTGCAGAAAAAATATTCAGTTTGACGAATCAATGAAAAAAATTGAACTGTACGATCTTATTTTAAAAAATAAGGACAGATTCAAGAGGTTCGTTATTGACGAACTGATTCAATCAAAAGGGTTTGAAATTCTACGACTACCACCTTATCACCCGGAACTAAATCCAATTGAAAATATATGGGGGATATTAAAAAACTACGTGGCTAATAAAAATGTTTCACAAAATTTTACATCCATTATGTCACTTATAAATGAACGACTCGAAATGATTGATAGTACTATGTGGGCAAATGCATGTCGGCATGTTGAAGACACAGAAAAACAGTATTTGCAATATTTTGACATGGACTTTGAATTTATTATTTCTGTTAATGACTCTGATTCAGATGAAAGTGAATCTATGGAGATGAGTGAATAGTGATACTTTACATAATTTACATGCATATTATTATAGTAATTATACTAATTTGTAAAATAAATATTTCGAAAGAATATCAATCTGGTTTAATTAATCTACATAATTACAAAATAAAAACAATATGTTTTGAACCATTAATTAACAAATAGAAGAAATACCATCATAATTAAATAATTTAACTTCAATTTCTTTGTAGACCGTATTTGCTAAGAAGCGGATTTTCTTGCATTTTTTGTCCAACTTGTCATAATTGCCTGAAGGTGGCAGAGAGCGGACGTTTTGTTTCATACAATGCCCCAACGCTGCTCCCTAAGGAGAGCGTTGTCGGATTTATCACGCGACTAGTCGACCGTCACGTAGGCATACAGATCATAGTTCGCGGAGCAGTCGACGCTCAAACACAGATGAAGCGTCGTTATTAATATTTACACTCACACATCGAAATCAACTAATTAAGTAGTGGGGCGCGTCATTTCAGTTTAGACAAGCTCTACTCAATTTTGCAAATACGACCCATCTCTAGATTCGGTCGCTAGAAATGAATGATTGACACATATCTATAACTGTGCTTCCGCTCCTACAGACAGGTTACTACATTAAGTTTAATGAGGGAAGCGTAAAATTTGACCACCTTCGTAGGAGCGTTGTTCCTTAACGACTTAACGTCAAATATACTGTCCAATCAGGTGGGAGCAGCTAATTTGAGGTCTATGAATCCCTAGTAAAACTATCAACAAAAGCAGGCTTCGGACCCTATATAGCAAATCGGAGTACATATTGTTGGTGTGATTTACCTACGAACAGCGCCATCTAGTTTGGTTTAAGGAAGTTAATGATGTAATATGACAATATTAAAAGAGATAAGAAGAAGATAGCTGCGTGGTTTCCTTTGCGTTTCTTCTCCGGTCAGAGTAATCTCATTTCGAAACAGTAATAAATTTGAAGTAAAATTACATTTGGAATAAAATTACAATTTCATTGAATTTAATTTTGTTTTATTTCATTTCATTTTATTCTGCCAATGCACTGTATTCTTAAAGTACCTACGAAAAAGAAATGCTGTGTGTTCCTAACTTATATATATATATATATATATATATATATATATATATATATATATAATATTACGCTTTCAATATTTGAGGCAATTAAAAAAATATCGTGACGAGGGCCGCTATATCGTATACACAGATGAAAGTTATGTTCATACAACACATCTGCAAAACATGTGCTGGAAACCAGTCAAAGGAGTATCAGCAGTGCAAAAAAAGTTGTCGAAAGGTACTCGGGTCATAATTTTTCACGCTGGTGGATGTGAAGGATTTGTTCCAAATGCTAGTTTGGTGTATAAAGCAAACTACACAAGAGGAGATTATCACGACAACATGAATCTGGATAATTATAAGAAATGGCTCACCACACAATTACTGCCCAATCTCCCGGTAAAGGCTGTCATCGTTGTGGATAACGCTTCTTACTACAATGCTTTATTAGAAAAAGCTCCCAACTCCAACTCAAATAAGCAAGTCATGCAAACGTGGCTTGCAGAAAAAATATTCAGTTTGACGAATCAATGAAAAAAATTGAACTGTACGATCTTATTTTAAAAAATAAGGACAGATTCAAGAGGTTCGTTATTGACGAACTGATTCAATCAAAAAGGGTTTGAAATTCTACGACTACCACCTTATCACCCGGAACTAAATCCAATTGAAAATATATGGGGGATATTAAAAAACTACGTGGCTAATAAAAATGTTTCACAAAATTTTACATCCATTATGTCACTTATAAATGAACGACTCGAAATGATTGATAGTACTATGTGGGCAAATGCATGTCGGCATGTTGAAGACACAGAAAAACAGTATTTGCAATATTTTGACATGGACTTTGAATTTATTATTTCTGTTAATGACTCTGATTCAGATGAAAGTGAATCTATGGAGATGAGTGAATAGTGATACTTTACATAATTTACATGCATATTATTATAGTAATTATACTAATTTGTAAAATAAATATTTCGAAAGAATATCAATCTGGTTTAATTAATCTACATAATTACAAAATAAAAACAATATGTTTTGAACCATTAATTAACAAATAGAAGAAATACCATCATAATTAAATAATTTAACTTCAATTTCTTTGTAGACCGTATTTGCTAAGAAGCGGATTTTCTTGCATTTTTTGTCCAACTTGTCATAATTGCCTGAAGGTGGCAGAGAGCGGACGTTTTGTTTCATACAATGCCCCAACGCTGCTCCCTAAGGAGAGCGTTGTCGGATTTATCACGCGACTAGTCGACCGTCACGTAGGCATACAGATCATAGTTCGCGGAGCAGTCGACGCTCAAACACAGATGAAGCGTCGTTATTAATATTTACACTCACACATCGAAATCAACTAATTAAGTAGTGGGGCGCGTCATTTCAGTTTAGACAAGCTCTACTCAATTTTGCAAATACGACCCATCTCTAGATTCGGTCGCTAGAAATGAATGATTGACACATATCTATAACTGTGCTTCCGCTCCTACAGACAGCTTACTACATTAAGTTTAATGAGGGAAGCGTAAAATTTGACCACCTTCGTAGGAGCGTTGTTCCTTAACGACTTAACGTCAAATATACTGTCCAATCAGGTGGGAGCAGCTAATTTGAGGTCTATGAATCCCTAGTAAAACTATCAACAAAAGCAGGCTTCGGACCCTATATAGCAAATCGGAGTACATATTGTTGGTGTGATTTACCTACGAACAGCGCCATCTAGTTTGGTTTAAGGAAGTTAATGATGTAATATGACAATATTAAAAGAGATAAGAAGAAGATAGCTGCGTGGTTTCCTTTGCGTTTCTTCTCCGGTCAGAGTAATCTCATTTCGAAACAGTAATAAATTTGAAGTAAAATTACATTTGGAATAAAATTACAATTTCATTGAATTTAATTTTGTTTTATTTCATTTCATTTTATTCTGCCAATGCACTGTATTCTTAAAGTACCTACGAAAAAGAAATGCTGTGTGTTCCTAACTTATATATATATATATATATATATATATATATATATATATATATATATATATATAAAAAAGCGTAACATTTGGATATCATGCTTTTCTACTAAAGCTTTACGGTTGTCATCTATTTTGGAGCACTCGTAGCCCGATTCCTTCAAAATGATACGCAGAGTTTCTATTACACTCTTGATAGTACTATGTGGGCAAATGCATGTCGGCATGTTGAAGACACAGAAAAACAGTATTTGCAATATTTTGACATGGACTTTGAATTTATTATTTCTGTTAATGACTCTGATTCAGATGAAAGTGAATCTATGGAGATGAGTGAATAGTGATACTTTACGTAATTTACATGCATATTATTATAGTAATTATACTAATTTGTAAAATAAATATTTCGAAAGAATATCAATCTGGTTTAATTAATCTACATAATTACAAAATAAAAACAATATATTTTGAACCATTAATTAACAAATAGAAGAAATACCATCATAATTAAATAATTTAACTTCAATTTCTTTGTAGACCGTATTTGCTAAGAAGCGGATTTTCTTGCATTTTTTGTCCAACTTGTCATAATTGCCTGAAGGTGGCAGAGAGCGGACGTTTTGTTTCATACAATGCCCCAACGCTGCTCCCTAAGGAGAGCGTTGTCGGATTTATCACGCGACTAGTCGACCGTCACGTAGGCATACAGATCATAGTTCGCGGAGCAGTCGACGCTCAAACACAGATGAAGCGTCGTTATTAATATTTACACTCACACATCGAAATCAACTAATTAAGTAGTGGGGCGCGTCATTTCAGTTTAGACAAGCTCTACTCAATTTTGCAAATACGACCCATCTCTAGATTCGGTCGCTAGAAATGAATGATTGACACATATCTATAACTGTGCTTCCGCTCCTACAGACAGCTTACTACATTAAGTTTAATGAGGGAAGCGTAAAATTTGACCACCTTCGTAGGAGCGTTGTTCCTTAACGACTTAACGTCAAATATACTGTCCAATCAGGTGGGAGCAACTAATTTGAGGTCTATGAATCCCTAGTAAAACTATCAACAAAAGCAGGCTTCGGACCCTATATAGCAAATCGGAGTACATATTGTTGGTGTGATTTACCTACGAACAGCGCCATCTAGTTTGGTTTAAGGAAGTTAATGATGTAATATGACAATATTAAAAGAGATAAGAAGAAGATAGCTGCGTGGTTTCCTTTGCGTTTCTTCTCCGGTCAGAGTAATCTCATTTCGAAACAGTAATAAATTTGAAGTAAAATTACATTTGGAATAAAATTACAATTTCATTGAATTTAATTTTGTTTTATTTCATTTCATTTTATTCTGCCAATGCACTGTATTCTTAAAGTACCTACGAAAAAGAAATGCTGTGTGTTCCTAACTTATATATATATATATATATATATATATATATATATATATATATATATATATATATATATTGTAGTGTTATGCTTACATACATACTTACATATCATTTTACACTATTTTATTTTTATTTTTCCATTCTGTTTTTGATTTTCTACATTCACCTCAAAACTGGATATTTTGCATCACCTTTATTTCCATAGGATCCTGTAATATTTTTAATTCATAAGAACACAATAACAAATCATTTTCACTTCGTATTTTCACGTTATCAGCACTTTTTAAATCGGTGTCAATGGAGTCTACCTTTTTCGATCTTTTTATTTAGTTCTCCGTAACTCTACAATTTCGGGTTTCGTGCGCGCTCTTGCGCTACCTTTTTTCCTATATAAATAATATCTCATTTTTCACTTAAATCTTGCCGTTTCTGTATTACGAGCTTAAAACCAAAATTTGACATGTTTTGACATCGTTGTTTATCTGGTTGTCGTGGCAATTTTTATTCAAATATTGTTACCGGCCTGATGTTTTTACTTCAAAAATACTCTTTTCTTCTTGGCCATTTACAAAAATTTGCTTTTAATTTAAATAATTTCAAATAATTTCTCGTTCTTATCCCAGATCCGTCAAAAAGTATAAAAGCCGAAGAATCGGCCGATAGAGGTCCTCACTTCAGCTTTGATACGAGAAGCACCTCTGAAAGGCTTTATCCGCACTGCCTCGGGATCTTGCAAGCCTTCTCCTGAAATCGTCGCCTAGCCACGCCTACGCCTCCACCTATTAGTGCCCGCGCTATCTTCAGCCGCTGAGCGTGCTTGTCTCAAGCGCTGCGTGTTCCTACTCCAGACGCTGCGTGTCTACTCCGGACGCTGTGTGTGTCTACTCCGGACGTTGTGTTTGCCTACTTCAAGCGCCACGTGTGCCTACTCCAAGCGCTGCGTGTACCTTCTCCAGACGCTGCATGTGCTTTCTCCAGATTCTGCGTGTACCTAGAGCAGGCGCTGTGCACCTATCATAGGCATAGCCTGTGCATACTTCGTTGCAGTATCTTTATTTTTGTTATTTTTTTTTAATAATATTGTAAATCACTATCATCATTACAGCCCATCATCACCTTCATACCTTTTTTTATAAAAGAAACTGTAAATCTTTTCAAATTTTTAAATAATTTATTTTATTTTTGGTTGTTTTGTTGTAGTTAGGTTAGGTTATTTAGTTTTTAATTGTCGCTTTACGACAATATATATATATATATATATATATATATATATATATATATATCAACGGAGCCTAACATTCGTGCACTATAATTCAAAAAAGATTTATAGTGTACGAATGTATGAGCGAGCGCAAATGCACAAATGGACTAGGATGCATGCCTTGTTTTCAGTAAAATCTGTCTTCTCTACACTAAACATACGAGGCACCAGCATTAAGCTGCTATTTTACTCTGGGATTCTGTGAGAGCGCGGTCCTTCCCCGATCGAGCCGACCCATTCGTGCTATAATATAATCCACTGCCGGATATGTGCCACACACTTATCAATTAGTTTGTTTAAAGCCTACAGTAGTAAATGAAATGTCTTGAAAATGATTGTATGTCTACAAATAGGAGTCTATTAATATTTTCATTGTATCTGGTACTATAATTTGATCGCTCGAGCGGTCACTAATGAAGTGTCGCAAGTTAGATAGATGCTCAATAGAATAAAAGGCTTGACTGACTAGTTGACTAATTAGTTTTGTGCTTACGTATTATATCTGAAATTCACATTTATTTATTTTAGTTTTATTGTTAGTACTGACTGCATGAACAAAAAAAATAAGTGAATGAGCCAATAATGCTGGTAAGGCGATATGTGCGGTTTAACCATTCACAATCTTTGGATGATGCAGAGATAAAAATATGAAGTAGGTGTGTGAAATGTTAAAGATAAAAATGTTAAATAGTCAGGTGATTAAAAGCAATTCCCCTGGTGTTGCGGTTGATCATGGGCGGCGGTAGTCACTTAACATCAGGTGAGCCACATGCTCGTTTGCCCCCTCTTCTATATAAAAAAAAAAAAAGGAATTGAAGGAAAACTTAACTGTAGCGACCATCATCACCGGACTGTCAGAAAGAACGAACGAAAGAAACGAACGAACGAAAAGAACAATAGTAAAAATAATAACAAAAAAATAATTATCTATACCTTAATATTATGAAGAAGAAAGATTTTTTTTGTTTGTGTGTACCGTGTGTACTCCAAAACTACGACTTTAATAATTTTTTCACCAATAGAGAGCTAAATTATCACAAAGTAACGTACATGCTATATTTTATTTTCCAACAAATTCGGAGATCTTTAAGAAAATTGTAACCCAAAGTAGAAATATTTTGCTTAAAAATTTATTATTTGGCGTGCGCTGAGAGAACTTGATGATACATAGAAATTATGTGCTACATGATTACCTAATACTCATTATTACCTTCAAAAAAGTCCGCGTAAGGAATATATCTTACTATCATAATTAAGTCACAGGAGTAGCTTTTGTGTTTTAAAATTTAATTAGATCACCGGTCGAAATAAAAGTCGGTTACAGTCGTATCGTAGTATTAATTCTTATTCAAATAAATAGTTTTATCATAATGATTTCTAAAATTTACGCGAACACTACACATTGAATAAAACTAAATTTACGGATTTTATCGCGTTTATTTCACTACTTTTACTTATTTTTAATTCCCGACGTTTCGGGTGCTTTACGGCAACCATGGTCCCCCCCCCGTGACCATAGTGTAGGTAGTGAAATAAACGCGATAAAATCCGTAAATTTAGTTTTATTCAATAGTTTTATCATAATGAAAGAGTTAAAAAATAATTTGTACTTCTTTTTTAAAGAGCATATTCTATTCTTTACTTTAGTCATATATTTAGCCTACATATATTGGCGGTAAGGTTGGAATATTTAATATACCTAAACTTTGAACAAAAAATCGATTAAAGATAAGAAATGTTCATATTTTGTGGCAGATCGCGCAAAAACTATAAATGATATCGATTTCGTATGTATAAAAGGTTAATAGAAAATTCATCAAGGATCATTTCATACCTCCACACTTTTCATGTACCGTGTACAGTTATCTTTAAAACTGAAGAATTAAAAATCCTAAAATTCGCAAAAAATTTGTCTGTCACTTATGGACAAAAAAACTATCATATCTCTCATCCATCCGGACATCTCCATCGCGGACAAACAACGTGACACGTAATTTATATATATTAAGATATGGCAACTATCTAACAAATATCGGTCAACCGCAGATGGTGTCTCGTTATCCCTAGTTACGGACATCTAGCATACTAACACCAGTATTCACGAACGATACTAACATAAGTATGGCAGCAACACTATGCTAAGTAAGATATTTCTCACTGCGTTCGTCATGGCAGGCCGTTCATTTCATAAACAATACTTAGTGGACTCTTTGTTGTGCGGACACATATCATTGAATGGGGCGCCGTGATTGGATAACGTTGTGATGCGACTTCAGTCGAGTTGAATGACAGTTAAACATCACTAAACCAAGATATTATTTTGTCATTTGAATTCTAAACATAGTTTACTTATACAATTTTATTTTATTTTCATTTCGAATACGAGTTGCTTGCCTATAATGAAATCACCTAAAATATGGTAAGTATTACATTTTATGTTTCTGTTTGTTTCGTTGTCAATTTCGTGCAAATAATAACACGTGTTGTTTTCTTACAGTTCAAAGAAGTTACCATTTACTTCTTCGGAATTCGGAATCTTTTGAAAACCTATAGCGACTTTTAAATTCATTGGCACTGTAATAATCAAAAGGATTTTGAGTCACGTGTCACTTTTCTTGTGCTAATCGTTCTTTGCACGTTTATTCTTCCAGGATATAATTATCAAAATCATCTTCGCTGCTGTAATCTATAATAATAATAATAATAATAATAATGATGGCGTTTGCTGGGACAAATATCAATTTGTTCCAGCCGGATATCACGCAAAAACTAACGGAGCGCATAGATGACCTGAAGCAAAAAATCGCTGCTTGGGGGAAGCGGATTCGACGATTTAGCGAGATGTCAAGGCGGTTCAACCAGAATCGTCTCTTCCAGAGTGATCAGAAGAGGCTCTATAAAACATTGGAGCGACCAGAGGTATGTGGAGCGTGCCCAGGACCGGATCAGGCTGACACTATCGCATTTTGGCGTGGCCTGTGGTCAGAGCCCGTAAACCACAGCGAGGGCCCTTGGACGGAAGTTGTGGCGAGCCAGAGTGCAAGTGTTACACCTATGGACCCCGTCACCATAACGCCTAAAGACGTGGCTGAGGCGGTTCTTTTCTTCTGTTGACTAGATTCTGTGAGAGCGTGGCCATTCCCCGGTCAAGCCGACCCATTATTTGCTGCACGTGGCTCTTTTTCTCTAGGATAAGGGTAACAAACGAGCACACAATCCACCTGATCGTAAGTGGTTTCTGTGGCCCGTAGACATCTGGGCACATCTATCCTTGATTACGAATTGAAATGCAGATGCGTTTTCACCCGTTAGGACTAAGACGGAATGCGTCATTTCCAATGAAAGCTGTCTCTGGTTTCATTAGTCAGCATTAAGTTTCTACTTTACACTGGTATTCTGCCTTCCCCAGTTGAGCCAACCCATTCGTGCTACAAATTAATATACTACTAATATAATATAGCTACAGCGTGGCGTTACCTGGTATGATAGGTATTATATTGTTACATATACCTGAAATTGCAATGGTATGTCATCTTTGTTGGACAGAAACTCAATGTATTTTCTAAGTCTATATGTACTAAGTAAAAATTCCTCTTTTTATTAATCTAACAGTATTATTAAGCGTACGGTCTTGTTTTGAATAGATATTTGAAAAAAATTTATAGTTTGAATTATTTGACAAATAAAAGTATGAAAATATAAATTACTAACTTATGCCCGTGACTCCCCGACTTTCCCGGACGTCAGTCTGAGCGAGCTTAGAATGGCTCTCCAGCACCTCAAAAACGGCAAGTCCCCGGGCGAGGATGGAATTAAAGCGGAGCTTCTGAAAGCGGGTGGAAAACCGGTACTTGAAGTCCTTCAAAGGCTCTTTAATTTCGTCCTCCATTGTGGCACTACTCCGGAGGCGTGGAGCAGAAGTGCGGTGGTCTTGTTCTTCAAGAAAGGTGACAACGCCCTCCTGAAGAATTACAGACCGATATCGCTTCTGAGCCGCCTCTACGTGCTGTTTTCGAGAGTCATTACGAATCGTCTCGCACGCAGACTCGACGACTTCCAGCCTCCCGAACAAGCCGGTTTCCGAAAAGGCTTTAGTACTATAGATCATATACATACCCTTCGGCAAATTGTACAGAAGTCCGAAGAGTACAATCTGCCACTTTGCTTGGCGTATGTGGACTATGAGAAAGCCTTTAATTCCGTCGAAATTTGGGCGGTGTTACAGTCTCTTCAGCGGTGCCAAGTTGACTGTCGGTATATTGAAGTGCTATAGTGTTTGTACAGTAGGGCTACGATGGCTATCCGAGTACTGAACCAGAGTACGAAACCTATCCATCTGCAGAGAGGTGTAAGACAGGGTGACGTTATTTCCCCGAAACTCTTCACCGCTGCATTGGAAGACGTTTTCAAGCTACTGGACTGGAAAGAATACGGTATTAACATCAATGGCGAGTACATCACTCACCTTCGATTTGCCGACGATATAGTCCTTATGGCAGAATCGCTGGAGGACTTAAGCATTATGCTCAATGACCTCAATAGTGCCTCCCAATGGATAGGTGTTAAGATGAACATGGACAAAACAGATCATGTTTAGTGTTCTTGTCACACCTATGCCGGTAGTTGTTGGGAGCACTCAGCTCGAAGTTGTTGAAGAGTACGTTTACCTAGGACAAATAGTCCGACTAGATAAGTCCAACTTCGACCGAGAGGTCAATCGACGGATTCAATTCGGCTGGGCAGCGTTCGGGAAATTACGACGCATCTTCTCGTCAGGTATACCTGAAACCCTAAAAACTAAGTTGTACAACCAGTGCGTGTTGCCATTGATGACCTACAGAACCGAGACGTGGTCCAAGTCCACTCGCTGAGCGACTTTGAGCGTCGCTCTGCGAGCTATGGAGAGGGCTATGCTCGGAGTTTCTCTGGGTGATAAACTTAGAAATGAGGATATCCGCAGTAGAACCAGAGTGACCGACATAGCCCAACTGATTAGAAAGCTGAAGTGGCAATGGGCCAGCCATATAGCTCGAAGGACCGACAACCGTTGGGGAAGAAGGGTTCTCGAGTGGCAGCCTCGTACCGGTAGGTGAAGTGTAGGGCGACCCCCCACTAGATGGAGTGATGACGTGTGTAACTTGATTTAAAAATCGCTCGGGATCTCTGTGATTTTTGAGGATAGATAGTCGCCTACAGGTCCTCAACTATGCCCAGGCAAAAAATCACTATGAAGCCAAAATTTTTTTACAGCATGATTGAATGACAAACCAACAACCAAACACATTTTTGCATTTATAATATTAATAAGGGTATTTTACAAACCTAAGATTTTAAAAAATTATGATGAAATAAAACATATTTATTTATTATTGGTGCCACAGAAAAACTAATATACTAAAGTAACATTAATCGTCTGTGACACCACCCAAAATGGGTGTAAAGCTGAGCGTATTGCCTTGAATCATATATTAAAATTAGGTCATCTCCGATTAAACCTATGTTTGAAATTAAAATATAAAGTAATGAATGCTGTAATGTGCATTTATATATAATTAACCATTTAAAATATTCTTTATAATCCCTACAGATTCCTCCTGGCGGAATCGTCTTTTGTGCATGCTGGATTGCAGCGTGAAGAAATGTGCAAAGAGCTACTAATGTTGGGGAAGGGCAGCAAAATCCAGGACCTTCATATCAACATTATGGAGCTGACTGTGTGTGGTTTAAAATGTCTTTATTTCAAAGGCACGTTCGAATTTAACATGATGTCCCTGAAAGGGATATGGTGGCACAAAGGATTTATCCCATTGAGGTAATTAAATATGGTGTTTTGGATTTTATTCAAACATTCTAATAATTATTTTACTTGAACAGTTTTGAGTCAAGCAGTTTGTTTGTATGTATTATCATTGCTTCACATTTTCATTGTATATTATTAAACCATTGCCTGTCCACTACTGGGCATAGGTCTCTTCTCAGAAAATGAATAGTTTAAGCTTGGCAAGCTACACTCACCTTTAAAATCTGTATTGAGAATGCTTACGTGTGCAGGTTTTCCTCTACGTTTTTATTAAAGTAAATATATGGTATATAATTGCTTAAAACACACATAGAACGCAAAAAAGTAAGAAGTGCATACCAGGTATTGAACCCAGTCCGGTACGCAATTCTAATTTCATCGAAAAGGCACCTGAAGTCTTAACCACTAAGACGATACATATACTGATATATTAATAAACCTACTAAAATATGTCATATTATTAATTCACTAAGACTTATGTGTTGATTGCAGAACATGTCCTCTTATGTGTTGATTGCTGGGCACAGACACAAGAACACCAAAACCTTCGATAAGCCTGGCAGATGATTATTTAGCATACACCGAATTCTAGTAGGCATTGTTTCGTTCCATTTTGTACGAACCCAGAGAGGCTCAATGTGCCAGATCTTTTAAGACAGAGAATTTTGCAATGAAATAAAAATATATGTCACAGAAAATTGCAGAATTTGTGCTGAACACCGAACTACTTACAATTGGGAGTTTTAGAAGAAAATGAATTCTCAAGTAATTTCACACAGGAAGAAATAAAATCAATGTTAAACCTCAGCCTATGTTAAGGTTTAACCAATAATAATTTGGACTTTGGAAACCTATTAAGCTTTCCAAAGTCCAAATTATTATTTTGAAGAATTCGACGAGAACATCTTAATGGAATGGCATCAATAAAGAAAATTATTTGAATATTTTAAATCAAATAAGCATTGAGTAGTAAATTGCAAAAAATGGCGTTAGGAGCATATTTAATTAAAATAAGAACAAGGGACTCCCATGAAAGAAACTCCTCTCTGTTAAGTGTTAGTAAAACCAAATTTATCAGGTTACTCCAAACAGCTTGAGAAGCTTAATAAGTTTGTTTGTACCCCACCACTCGGGACTTAATCATATCACTAGAAATGATCTGATATCATTATCATCATCATTACAGCCCTTAAAAAACCACTGCTTAACATAGGCCTCCCCCAAGTAATGCCACAAAGCATGGTCCTGAGCCACCTGCATCCATCGATTTCCTGCATATCTAACCAGGTCGTCACTCCATCTAGTGGGGGGTCGCCCTACACTACGCCTACCGGTACGAGGCTGCCACTCGAGAACCTGTCTTCCCCATCGGTTATCGGTTCTTCGAGCTATATGGCCGGCCCATTGCCCCTTCAGCTTACTAATCCGTTGGGCTACGTCGGTCACTCTGGTTTTACTGCGGATATCCTCATTTCTGAGTCTATCACGCAGAGAAACTCCGAGCACAGCCCTCTCCATAGCTCGCTGAGCGACCTTGAGCGTCCTCATACGGCCAACAGTGAAGGACCACGTCTCAGATCCGTAAGTCATCACTGGCAACACGCACTGGTTGTACAATCTAGTTTTTAGAGATTGAGGTATACCTGACGAGAAGATATGTCGTAATTTCCCGAACGCTGCCCAGCCGAGTTGAATCCGTCGATTGACCTCTCGGTCGAAGAGTGACTTACCTAGTCGGACTATTTGTCCCAGGTAAACGTACTTGTCAATAACTTCGAGCATAGTGCTCCCATAAACTACCGGCATAGGTGTGACATGGACATTAAATATAATCTTTGTTTTGTCCATGTTCATCTTAAGACCTATCCGTTGGGAGGCACTATTGAGGTCATTGAGCATAGTGCTTAAGTCCTCCAGCGATTCTGTCATAAGGACTATATCGTCGGCAAATCGGGGTGAGTGATGTACTCGCCATTGATGTTAATACCGTATCCTTTCCAGTCCAGTAGCTTGAAAACGTCTTCCAATGCAGCGGTGAAGAGTTTCGGGGATATAACGTCACCCTGTCTTACACCTCTCTGCAGTTGGATAGGTTTCGAGCTCTGGTTCTGTACTCGGATAGCCATCGTAGCCCTACTGTTCAACACTTCAGCACTTCGATATACCGACAGTCAACTTGGCACCGCTGAAGAAACTGTAGCACCGCCCAAATTTCGACGGAATCAAAGGCTTTCTCATAGTCCACATACGCCAGGCAAAGTGGCAGATTGTACTGTCTCAGAGAAATGATCTGATAAGCAGGAATTTATTAATA